CCCCCAGTGTTGGCCTGAGACCCTGGTAACTGCAGTTTGGGACTCAGCCTCATTTGTTAGTACTTCTCATTGCAGTACAGGGTAGCAGCCCCCATCCCCCACCTTCCTGTTTCTCACAGGGCAGCCCGTGGAAGACGCAGAGAACCATTAACGTCTCCCGGTTTATTTTTCATAGAACATCTGGAATCGGAGTCGTTCTCATTTGTCGCAGTAATGTTCCCACTTAAGCATTTGACAGATTTTTCTACCCCCTTCCCAAGCCCTCCTCGCTTTACAAAAAGAAGCTGTAGTAAGAGGCCATTAAAAACACACACACTGTTTCTACTTCTACACTGGTTATGTGGCCCAGAGGGGGCCGAATGAACCCGCCCTTGCAGTAGAAGTATTTTAAGTGTTCGCTCCCACTGAGGTGCCTTTTTCCCTGCCCCAGGGGGAACTGCCGATCGGCCCGAGCTTGAAAATGGAAAGCAGTCGCCCTGGGCCCACGTTCGCCCGCGCCCTCCCCCTGGGTTTGGGGGGAGTTGTGCGGGGGGCTCCTCGCAAGGCCTCGAGGTCCGTGGTGTCCCGGGACAGTGGGTAAGGAGGGTGCCCAGTCGCAGCGCGGGGCACGGGTGCCAGCCGCGGGCTCTGCCCTCTGAGCTCCTAGCACTGTGCAGGCGGCAGCCCGGCCTCGTATCTCTGCACGTGTGAGTCGGCTCTGTCCTTCAGAGTCCGGCCCGTCTCTGCAGGGAGAGTGCCGCCCTGCTGTATCAAACCGAGTGATGGATGGCACCAGGCTGCTTTTTCAATAGGAACCGCCGAAGGCGTCCGTCTGACCTCAGGCAGGTTGGAATAGTCAGTGATAAATTACTCCGTGCTGTGCGTGAACATGACATCATAACATAACACCACTTTATTGGCCCAATACAATTTCTTGCATTAGGAATTTGTCTTTTCACATACCCCAGCTTGCTCTCCACGAGACACACAGACAGGGAGAGAAGCTGGGGGTCAGAGCACTGGGTCTGCCATTGTACAGCGCCTCTGGAGCAGTTGGGGTTAAGGGCCTTGCTCAGGGGCCCAACGGAGTAGGATTCCTCTGCCGGCTGCAGGATTTGAACCGGCAACCTTCCAGCCCCAGGCGCAGATCCTGAGCCACAGAGCCCCCGCTTGCGTTACTCGATGCGTCTTCTTGAAATATCCCATATTCTTGTAAAATACTTCCCGGCTGATCCTTTCTTTTTGTGATGGGGTGGTTTGTCTCCCTCCGGCGCTGTGTGTGTAGAACAAAAAAGCAGGACTTGTGGAAACGGCGTGATGTGCCCTCTAGCCCCCCGCGAGTGTGATCCGCCGTGTGGGGGGGTCTGTATGACGCAGGGATCTTCGAGCTGCCCCAGCAACCACGCCTTGCTAGCCAGCGGTCCCACTCCGCTCGCTCAAAGGATCGCGGGCTGCAGCCTTGCTGCCATCCGACTTTTCCTCGGGACTTGGCGGCCGGGGCCGAACTGGCCCCACAGCGCTGCTGGCAGTGGAAACTGCGAAGTGGGGCGCCGGGGTCCCCAGGGGGGCGTGAGGAGTTCGAACTGCCTGAACAGCCACTCCGTCTCCAGCGCAGGACAAGCTCGGGCTCGCAGGCTTCAGTGTGAGAGTGAGTGTGAGAGTGAGAGTGTGAGATTTGCCAACACAAAGGCAGCTCAGCTCCCTCAGGGGGGACTATCCAAGAGCCCCCATCGCGATGATCACCTGCGCCGTCCAGCCTGGACGCATCTCTCCGGTTTCCCCAGGGGACAGGGCTACGCAGAGCAGAGGCAGGGTCAACCAGCCAGCCAGGGGCCGCGTGTGCTCGGACCCAGGGCCTCTCCCAGTAAGTCGCTCTGCGCAGGAAGGACCCAGAGCCACTTCCTCTCCCCCCGCCAGCTGGAAGGTGCGCTCGGCGGGATGGCCACGCTCCGCTCCTCTTGGACGGTGGCCAGCATCGTCCACCAGCTCCGGCTTCAGGGCTGGGTTTTTTTTTAAGCATTTTTCTTTGTGATTCTGCATATTCTCCTCTCTGCCGTTGCCCGCACTGTGAAAGGAGGGTGGCAGTAATTAGCCGGCCTGCCTCGCTCTGCTCGCGGCCATTGTCCTCCTGTCAAGACCAGAGTGCCGAGCGTGTTTGAGGCCCCGCTGGCGGAGGGGGGGGTTGGAATTCACCAGCTTCACCTGGCAGGGCGAAGATCTCCTGCAGCACCTAGAAAGGCTCCTTCTTTTTCTTTTCTTTTCTTTCCTTTCTTTCTTTCAGTGGGCTCTCTTCCTTCTTTCACGAATCCTGGCCCTGTGGATTTGAGGCTCATCGCTTGTCAGGCGGGGTCATCCCAGGGGATTTTTTTTATGCCCCAAGAAAAATGTTCCTGCCTCTCCCGTTGGTACCTTCCCTTTGACGAATTTCGCTGGGCCTTCGCCGAACCCCTTTCTGGGACGCGAGGTCGGTCTCGGCGCCTTCCGTGCTGTAACACCGCCTCTGAAAGGGGCGCCGATTGAAACGCACCCAGCAGCACTGCAAGCTGACTCAAAAGAGGAGACGGGCTTGGAGGAGACAACAGCAGGCTCAGACTGGGGGGGAACGAAAACTAGTTTGAGCCACGTCTCGCGGCTCATTCATCAGTACATATAATACTTTATTAATACTATATTAAAAATAGCTTTAATATTGCAGGGAGCGAGCGTTTTCAGAATTTGTTTTTTTTCCTGGCTCTGCAGCTGATCCTTAAATCAGATTTAAATCCATTCCAGCAAAGCCATTACGTTCTCTCCCGAGCGTGTCCCACCTCTCTCGTTCCCAAACTGGGAATATCGAAGCACAGCCTGTCGCGATGAGTCTGGATAAGGCTCTCCGGCACATTTTCTTATTTTGGTGGAGCACTCAGTGGGAAGCGGGAGACGATGAGATCTGCTCGTGATCCCAAGTGGATCGCCGGGAAAGCTTCCATGCAGCATCGGGTTAGCAGGAGTCAGCTCCCAGGAGCCTCTGGCCTCCAGTTCCCATCCCTGTTCCCCAGGACTTGCTGACTCCCATTTCAGCGCTGGCTCAGTGTGTTGTGTGTTTTTTTTTTAAAAGGCCTTTGAGAAAATTATTGTAGCCCAAAAGGGGGATAGGCTTCACTGCATCATTTTTTTTTACTCCTGTAAAATCGTGTTCCCACAAAGCCAACGGATGAAGATGAAAGAAAAACAAATAAAATGGAAAACCTTCCTTTATGCTGTTTTGACAGCTTAGCCCAGAACAACAACAACAAAAAAAAAGTAGTTTATAGGGGCGGGAGGTGTCAGATTTCAGGTCAATTCTGACGCCATGCGTTTCCCTTTTAAGTAGCACCCCGATCTCAAGACGGTTTCATTCATCTCGAGTTATTAAGCGGCGCTCGGAGCAGGAGCGCGGCTCTTGATGTTTCTTTCAGCGGCGTCCCCAGGGCGATGTGGTAGCGACCCAGCTAGCGAATCGTCTCTGCAAACGAAGCCCCCCCCCGAGTTTCCGAGAGCAGAAACAAAATCATTTCCTTTCGCGTACGCTTTCGGATTGTGTCTGGTTACCCTTCAAAAAAATGAAAAAATAATAGTAATGAAGAAAGGCTGTGGAACCGCGATGGCCGAGGGCGTATTTCTGTGCGTCTCAGTTCTGTATTGATTTTGCCCCGGAATTAATGAACCTTTTCTTTATTAAGTGTGAGGTTCCTCCCATTTAACCCCTATGAGAAACCCGCAGAAACTAATAATTTCTCTCGGAGAGTGGAAATAATGAGACTGTGTTATTACCACCACGGTGAATTATCAGGTTTCATTTCCTTATAAACAGAAAGGAAGTCTGACAGGACTCCCAGGATGGGATGGAGGGGGGCATTCTTGGCTTAAGTCCATTTTTGTTCTTCTGCTTATTTTCTTTTCCCTCCAGGACTGTATGTATTTAAATTATTTCAGACTTTACGGATCCTTAAACTAATAACACCCCCATCCCCTCAGCGCCCCCTGTTTATGGTTTATCTCTCCTAATCGTGGCATCGTAGGGTGTTGCAAACATGTTCTCAAGCGGAACCTGCGGAAGTGCGTTTAAAACAAAAAAGGGCAGGAGGGGCTTCTTTACACAAAGAGTGGTGGGAGTGTGGAACAAGTAGCCAAGTGCTGACGCTGTTGAAGCTGATACCCTGGTGTCTTTTAAGAAACAACTGAATGAGGTCCTTGGGTCAGCTTGCTACTGAAAAGCCAGATGGTTTCCTCTCCAAGCTCCAGCTCTCCAAGAGCCGCGGTGTCAGTGTTCCAGTTCAGCTGAAATGTTTCACAAGAGAAAAGATGACAGTTTGCATCACTGTATCCGAACAGAAAACCTCGAACGGTGGAGGGGTGGGAGGCTTCCTGAACGCGAAATAAAACCCGTTCTGTGTCTATCCTATTTCCCTCGTTCCTGTCTGAAGAAAAGAACCGTGAAGCCTTCCAGCATCTCATTTGCCCCCCCGTGTTCGTCCAAGCTGGTAATGCTGAATGTGTTTCAGCCTCCTGCGGCCGGGGCTGGAGGCCAGGCTGAGCTCAGTCCCGCTCCGACAGCCGGGCCCAGGAAATACTTCAGGAGTGTCATAATTCGCTTTTTTCTTTGTCCATTTGAGGTAAAAAGCTCACGTTGCCTTTTTTTTTGTAAAACACTGCTTCTTCGCTGGTAACGTGAGTCAGGGGCCACACCAAAAGATAATTGCTGTAACGCTGACGCGCCCGAGAATGAATCTTTTAACAAACGGCGAAGCCAGCCAGGAAATGTCAAACATTTAATATGACGCTCTTTAAAAAAGGAGACGCTTATCGGATGAGGAGTAGTTCGCGCAGTTAACGAAACCCCCTTTTTTCCACTGCACTTAGATTTTGTCTAACCTTTCTCAAGCCAGAATCGCGATGAGGCACTATTTTGTGCAGCGCAACTTTGCGCAGGATCTCACCGTAACACGGCGAAGCCCCCCCCCCAGAAAAAGACCAAACGTGTAGAAATCGTCTCCCGGTATTGATTGAGACGGTAGGAGAGGGGTTTCACCTGGGTCCTGTGCTCTCCGCACCACGCAGCACAACGGCAGACCGGGCTGAAAAAAAAAAATGGTCGACCTTTGTCACCGTAAGAACAGCGCGTTCTTCTTAAGAAAAATAAATGCCCAGTGCGCCAGAAACATTCAGCTGCCTTTAATGTCAAATATTCCAACAAAATTACAAAAAAAAAAACAGACCCGAATGTGCTGCATTCCTGCAGATAGTCACATCCTTCGCGAGTCTTGGATGGGAGCTTGGCAGCGCAGCACGATGGAAACCATCTGCAGAAACGAAGGATGACACTCTCCAGAGAAGTGATGGGATCCTGTTAATGGATGAAAATTTGCATGCACTGCAAAGCCCCTTACAACGCCAGTGACTTGAACATACTTCGGGTCATGAGAGCGCGATACTTGCTTCGGATTCGGACTAGACGTGTGAACCGCGCCACGCCGGGTTAGTGTCCGCTCCGCAGTTAGTAGTGTGCAGGGGCAGCCGAGCGCCTCGGGGGGGTGCTCTCGGGTTCTTGCCTTTCAGCAGCTGGTCAAGAGCAGGGCTACTCAGAAACGGCTTTTAATGGTTTAGAGGTTTGATCTTTATGTTGAGGATTCTGTAGATTTCTGCATGAAGGCTCCCCCCCGCAAAGGGCCCTGCAGAAATAGTTTATTTCTCACAGCTGTGGCGTGTTTTTAGAGCTCCAGTAATACAAATATCGTATTATCATTAAGCGTAGAGGAAACGTTTCAGTCACAGCTTGTTAATCAGCTGGGGTCTCCTGGCTCAGACAGGGGGCTGTAAGTAAACCGTTTCGATAGCGTTTGTGCCCGTTAAGCCTCAGTAAATTGGCCACGTTACTTCAGTGTGGACGCACCGGGACACTTGAATCGGAACTCTTTCCACTGGTAGGGCACTGTAGACGGGGTCTTGTCCAGCGCGATCTGCAGTATATTCTAATGTCTTCTCACAGGTAACATAATTATGACAATACTGATCACTATGAACGTTTCTGTGGGGAAAAACAAACCTCACCAATGCATACAAAATGTTTTAGCTCTCAGCTGGTGTGATGTCATGGTATGCGCAGAGAGGCCTGGCCTTGAATGTCTTTTCACCTGGGATAGGATTCTTCCTCGGAGGCTCCCTGGCCTTTGTCTGGCTCCAGCGGTAGGAGCATGGAGCGTCAGGCCTGTCGACAGAATTTGCTGGCAGCGGCGCGACACCCAGCCTTCTGAGTCATTCTGGAACATCTGCGTGCTCCACGTAACGCGCAGAGACTCTCGGACAACGCAGACCTCCAGGGAGAGGCGGCTGCGCTAGGAGATGGGGTTTCAGTGCTGCGGTTTTCTTCCTGGGCCCAGACAGCACCCGGGATAACTTTTCCTGCTGGCTTCTACCTTTCCTGACTTTGCATGTGGCCTCGTGCTGCGAAGGCGATGAAGTGATTTTCTCAGGCACTCTGTCCTGATTTCAAAACGGCTGCTAGCTGTTCTGAGCTTTTGACTGTTTTTTTTTTTAAGACCTTACAGTGGTGCTAGAAAGCCTGTGAACCCTTTAGAGTTTTCTGCATGAATCTGGCCTAAAATGCGATCAGATCTTCATCTGAGTCATAAAAAGAGAGAAAGAGAACCCCATGAAACGAATAACACAAAAAGATATACTTTCATTCATTTATTGATAAAAAAAGATCCAACATTAAATGTCTTTGCAGGAAAAAAGTATGGGAACCTCTAGGATTATCAGTTCAGCTAAGGGGATGATTAGAGTCAGGAGTGTCAATCAATGGGAGGACAAGCAGGTGTGCGTTTGGGTGGCCCTGCCCTATTTAGAAACATAACCCTTTCTAGCACCACTGTATTCCTAAACCTCTGGAATGTCTCTTGGATACAAGCTCACTCCACCGAAGGGCTCAAGGAGAGGGGCTCTGTTCTGGGTTACCATGACCTCGGATTGTGAAATCCCCTGCATGAATTCACTGAAACCGCCCCGAGATGTCTCGTGTTGAGTATGAAAAAGCTGATTACCAGCTGGTAATATTGCCAGGCCTAAAGGCCTTTAAGGATTATCTGTTAAACTTCAGTGGGGTGTAATGTCGTGTAGGGGAGGAATTCTGTACCAGGCTGTTCAGGGATTTCTTGGGGAATGTTTTTCCTTAAATTCCCTCTGGAATTAGGCCTCATGTTCTTTGAATTCACTCTTCAATCATTTGCAGCGCTTGTTTTCCCCTTAACTGTGCTCCTGGACAGCTAGGGCCCTCTGTAACGTGAAGCAGACTTGCCAGGAATCTGAAGAATCCTGAGCAGAACCAGATGTTAACCTCTACCCGGCTTGATCGACTTCTGTTGCCATTGGTAACCAGTGTGGAACCAATTCCAGAGCTCGTCCTAAAAGACTGGGAAAGAGATTTGAGATATGGCAACAAAAAAAAACCCACACTGATATTATCAGAGTTTCTTGCCTTCCCTGTTAGGTTAGTGTAAAGCTTCAGCTGAAAATTCAATATTGCTCCCAGCGAAAGCGACCGATTGGAGGGTGTCACAGACTCCAGCAGGGCCTTTGCTGTGAAGCTGCAGATCGGCTCATAGACGCTAGCTAGCCCACACATAAAGTCTGTGGATTTCTAGACTTTTATTTCCTTTATGAGAGCAGTAAAGGTACCCAAAGTAATTGTGTGTTTAAAAGCAGTATGTCTCCTAGCCTTTCATGCTGGACAGTTATTCGATTAACCATTTATGTGCTCATGACTTGAAATGAGGTTAGAGCTGAAATGGGTGTGCACGTGGGTTTACATTCACTTAATCATGCACATTCCCTTATCTGATTTTCTACAAACGGGGGGTTTCGTGGCAGTGGTGGGGGACGGTGCTGTTGGGTCGCGCGGCCATGTAATTAAGGCAGGAAGTGGCTGCAGGAGATGCTGCTCTGAAAGCCCTCTGGAGTTGTGCTATTCACCCTCCAAAAATAAAAGACAAGGCCCCTGACCTTCCTGTTCCCCGGGGCCACAAGCGCCGAGAGAAGAGGATCGCGGAGCACTGGCAATGCTGGGCTGAAAATCGAATGGCCGAGTTCATTTCGCTGCAAACATTAAGTAAAACTGAAGCGTGAAAAACATCTCTGAACTGCCAAGCAGTCCTGACTTTTTTTTTTTCATTGAAGGCTTTTCGAGTGGCGCTCTTTAAGAATTAAAAGTGGATCGCCACTCTAAGTAACTGAAGAAACTAACAATCGGGTAACGCCTCTGTTATCTAATCTGATCAGATCAGTTGTGGACAATGAAGTACCGGAGCCTGACCTAGTGACGTAGAAAACCGATCGTGCCATTATTCCTCACACAGTGCCTTATGAAACCATATGAGCAGAACTGGGATATTACAGCTGATATGACCAAAGTTGTATGTGATATTCCAAACAAGGTCTTATTAGTGCATGGTACAATTTTGACATAATATACCTTGATTTAAATTCTAAACCTTTATCTATACATCTTAGCATTTTGTTTGCTATTTTCTCCACACATTCTCCAGACAATAAATCATTATAAACACCTAAGTCTTTCTAATTAGCTTCTTCAAACTCAGTTACCTGTCTTGATGTATAGTTTGTATAGGTTGCCTGTATGCAACACTCTGGCTCTGTCTACATTTAAATGTCCAGTGTCAGATGTCTTTATTTTGTATCTCCTTTGCAGCTTATGCAGTGCAAACCTCTCATTTCATTGACTGTTGACTAGTTTACAAACTACCAGAAACCAGATTATCGATGTGAATTAGGAAAACCAGTGGTCCTAGTACAGATCCCTGTGGTACTCCTCTAATTACATCATCCCAATTTAATATCCATCAATCAGTTCTTAAACCTTACAGATTTCCTCGAATGCTTACTCTTCCAATTTGAGACTTTAATCTTTGATTAAGTTTTAGTAAAAGCCTTTTGAATATATAAATACACTATATCATATAATCTGTTTATATCAATTATTGTTGGTACTTGTTCAAGTAACTTTTACTTGACCTTTTCTAACTCTGTATTGACTCTCTTTCATAATCATGTTTGCATGCAGACAGTCCTCTAGTTTATCATGTTCATAAACGTATATCGGGCAGCACAGTGGAATAGTGGTTAGCATTGGCCAGGGGCTGTCTGTGTGGAGTTTGTATGTTCTTCACGCGTTTGTGTAGATTTCCTCCAGGTGCGCTGGTTTCCTCCCACAGTCCAAAGACATGCTGGTAGGTTAATTAGCTTCTGGGAATTTTGGTCCTGTTGTCGTGTGTGTCTGTGTATGCCCTGTGATGGACTGCTGTCATGTCCAGGGCGTGTGAGTGTGTGTGTGTCCGTGTGTGCCCTGTGATGGACTGCTGTCGTGTCCAGGGCGCGTGAGTGTGTGTGTCCGTGTGTGCCCTGTGATGGATAAAACTAAAAAAAAAAAATGGATACATGGTTAAATCTTATATAACAGAGGTGCGAATTATTACTCAAATTATTATTAGCTTGGTTTTGACAACTTTATAGTTGATGGGTGCCAACATCCACTACAATTCTCTAGTCAATTGGTGCAGAAATAACATCTCTTCTTGTGTCTAATGTGGTCTTTTCTATACGAATAATATTTGATATCAAACTTGGCTTCCATAGCATAAAGCACACTATTGATTTCTTTGTTGGTGATCACTGGGGTGAAATATGTTCATGATTAACCCAAGCATTCACTGTTCTTGTAAGAAATAGTTCTTGGAACCCTAGTTGCAATTGGCAACAGCTGTTTACTGGGACAGTTGTGAAATGATGATACAGGGATACTGAGTATTCCTGAGACACTTGCCTGCGCAGTTTACAGGGAGATTCTCCAGCGCACGGATAAGGGTTTGTACTTTAAAACCACGGAGTTGTACAAAGTTAATTATTTTTATTCTAAGGGGGTGTTTATCTTTAATTGCTATTCTGCTCCTCATTTCTCACGGTTATCTTTGTTAAAGGTGTGTGAAATGAGCTTGCCGTGTTTTTCAGAATTCAAACTTTTTTGTGTGTGCAAAAGCCGCAAATTTCTCTAGAATGCTGAAATTACAAATCAGACTCTCGCTCCGAGGACTTGAGTCAGACAAAATTAAGCATAATTTCTGAGCTCTCTCTAAGGGCTTATTTTTCCCAAGTGTTTTTCCACGCTGTTCCATGTGCGTTGCATGTGGATGAGAGAGCTGTTTTCTTGGGAAGCGTTTGGGAAGATTTCTTGGGAAGCGTTTGGATAAGTGTTCAACAAGTGCAGAGATGGTGTGCTTTTTAAAACCAGAGGTGACACAGAGCAAAGGTGGAGAGGAGATCTGATCAGAGGACAGCTCAGAGAGGCCCCTCTGCACCCTGGCGTTTCTCTTACCGATCGGCCGAGCGATCCTGCGGTCCCGTCGAGGCCAGTTTTGAAGATCCCAATACTTCCGCCTCCGCAGCGTGGCTTGGTAATCTGTTCCCTTGGTGATATTTCTGCATGAAAATGAAGTATTTTCTAGTATCAGTGTGCGACTTTTAACTGCGTTCACAATTACGTCCTCATATGCTGCTTGCCGAGCTTAATTTGAAATGATTTGACGGCAGTCTGGGTCAGACTCAAGTGGGCTGGAATCGTTCCAGAGGAGAGCCACCGGGCCGTCTGGGGCTGAAGAGGCTGTCCGACACAGGCAGGACAGAGGGTCCAGCTTGAATGGACAAGACTGCAATTAGGGGTCCTGATGCAGGTATTCAAAATCTTCAGAAGCACTGACAGTCACCCCAGAGAACCTCTTCAGGATCAACAGTTGGAACACAAACCAGAGAAGGCCAGTGGACACCCTCTTCAGGAGTCGTAGGAGCATGGACCAAGCTACCGTGTGGGCTAAATGGGCAGAGTAGCTTCTGGTCCGTAGGTATCCACTCAGCCTGGTTTGACAGGGCTGTGGTTTCACTAGGCAGAACGATCCGCGCTCGGAGCCCCCATGGAAATCCGTCCTCAGACCTGCAGTCTGAGCTCTCTTCTGTTACCTGCGAGGAAGAATGACGGCGGCTCTCCAGTAACCATTAAAAGTGCACCTCTTCCTTTTTCTCGCACTGTCGCGTCGGTAATGAGCACTGAAGCTCCCTTCGCCTAAGCTGTTAGCTTAATGAGCAGCAGAGAGACTTCTGAAAGTGAGCCTTCCCTGTGAAGAAAAACAAAGCGCGTTAATTAGCCGGGGAGCGGAGCCGGAGCCGCGCAATCAGCCACCGCTCTCTCCCTCTCCCTCTCTCCCTCTCTTCTCGCGGTTATCTCGGGAGAGAAATCGCAAGCCGCGCTGTTTGTCGGCGCGGCGGAGGGCGGCCGTGCCAGCTGTCGAGGCCCTGGCGCGCCGCCAGCCGCGGCGCCGCCCCGGCGGTCGGTCACACTGCGCTGGCGCGGATGGCGGAGGCCGGACACCTCCGAAGACGCATCAAGGTCAGGGGGGGGAAAGAGAGAGAGAGCACAGGCCCGCAATCTGTCCGGATAGTGAGCATTTACAGAGTGGGGAATGTCAAGTTAAGATAGGTAGGCACCTGTACCTGCAAGTCCAGCAGGTTTCTTTAAACAGTAAAATATTGAGCAGAAGAAAGAGGGACTTTGAAATAAATGCTTGGGTTTGCTGCATAAAATAGGAATTCATTGGCAGTGCCTGCAAAGGTTTATAGTGCTAAACTGCTATTGGAAAAAAATTGTGTTTACTAAAGTTGGACTGTGGATAAAGGAGACTTTTTTTTTTTAATTTTAAAGTTTTTAAACACTTTCTGCACGCCTAGATTTCTTTATCTGAAACGCGGTGCCCAGAGTGATGAACGACGAACCTGAAAATAGACCCGTCACGTGTGAGGCATTGTGGAGCGGCTGTTCTTTGCCAGTGGGGTGTTGGACATGAAGCCCGATCCCTGTCAGTCACAGGACCGCTGGCTTTTTCAGCCTTGTCGCTTTGTCGCACCGAGGATGTACGGAGACTCTCATGTGGACGTCCTGATTAGAAAACCCCGGCAGTGGGGTGCGATTTACATTTTCATGACGAGGGGTACAGAATCAGGTGCTTTCAAAATGATCAGCTGAGAATTAGATGCTTTCAGTCCATATAAACAAATGAATCATGCTAAGCACTACTGGAAAACCACACTCCAGATTTCATGAGCCGATGGTTATAAATGTGGTAATTAAATGGAACTTGCGGCCTATTTTGCAGGCATTAACATTCTGAATTTTCCTTGAGGGACATCATCTAGGACACAAAAACCACCAAAGTTCTCTCCAAAAGCACACCTTTCGTATTGCAAAGAACAAAGAAAAGCTTTCTCGTGTCTCAGTGCTGTGCCGGAATTAAAACTGGGATCAAGTACAGTGTGCGCAGCTGCAGTCGTTATCCCACTGTCTCAGGACTTCCAAACTGGATCACGGTGAGGACTCTGTGCTGACCTCATGGAAAAAACGATGTCTCATTCCCACCATTATTATTGACCTGTACAAACGAGAGTGGGACAACCTGCTGTTGTCACAAGCTGTACTGTTATTGCAGTTTTCCTCCTAGACAGCACAGCCTGTTTTAGTAACAAATAGCCTCCTTTTTTCAACCCTGGACTGCACCCCAGTCGCAGCCGAGAGAAAATGAGCCTGGAACGCAGACTGCAAGGTTATTGAACAGGAAACGTGCAGTAATCCCCTGGACGGACGCAGCCTTGACTGTTTATGCTTCTTGATACACATCCGCGTGTCATTTTGATGTAGCCTTTGCCATACAGCATGTATACAGAGCTTGCCTGTATAGTGCATTCAAGTTTAAGCACTAATGTAAGTTCCATGGTTAGGGGACAGTGAAATCATCCAAATTAAATAAGACTTAATGGTTTTTCTATTTTTTCTTCCTCCTTTTTCAGATTTCCGATTGGCATGTGTTTGCCATTAAAGAAAGTCAGTAGAATGAGCATTTTGTTAAATTGATAAATTGACATTTTGGGTTTTAATTGCTCTCAGCTATTGGGGAAAGGCATCCCGTATCTGATCCGGCGAATCTGTGGGAGTGGTGCGGTCCGTCAGAGCTCTTGCAGTGGTGCAGGGCATGCTGGGATGTGCCGTAAGGTTGGCGTCTGCAGCTGTAACCAAATTCACATGGTCGTGCATTTGTGTACAGAGCCTGAGCTGAAGACACAGGCTGACAGTGGGCACAGTGAAATGTAAAATGTGAGCAAGGTCTTCCTAAACCTAAGGAAACTTGTTTTGTTTTTTTAGTTTCAAGTGGAAATTCAATCTTTGAAAGACCAGTAAAAGATTACTTCCATATGAACTAAGACCTTTTAAATGGCATCCTCTTTATTTTTACTTACTAGCCCATTTTGACTCCGGTTACAGGGGCCAAAAGTATTTTTCTCTGTTGCAAGAACATGTTGCAGAGGCCTGGTCTTGTCAATGTGATTTTTGTAAGTTTAGAATTCACTTGAACCGTGTGATCCATTTAATTTCATTTCCACAGAGTGGGATTTTGCAGAACGCAAAATCAGATTGTTTGGGCTGCAGACATTCTGAAGCGTTTTTTGTTTTGGCAGAATTGCAACTCCTGACACTTGTGTTATTAAGACTGAGTTTTGGGGTTCCCTCTCACTACGTTGGGTCACAGAATCTCATGATGTGGCCTTCCCTAGTTCAGAGGGTTTTGTTTGGGTGAGATTTTGTCTGCCCCCATTAGGTTTTAAGTTGTTGTTGTTATATGATTGGAATGAATTATAAAGTAAAATCTTTTAACAATTGGGGAAGATTTAGAGCTTAGGGAGATCTAAATGAAACAACCAAGCCATCAGGTCTGGTCGTTAGCTGTTTAAAGACTGCGTTTACAGAGAATAACGTTTTTCTTTCTTTTATTTTTGAGAACAGATAATACCATTCTAAATACAGGTGACATCACACAACAATCCTTTCGTAATACAGATTCACCAGTTTTCATTTTCACGTTTTCAAGCATGAGAATTGAGTCTATTCATATCTGTTCCCTCCATATTATACAATTATTCTACTTCTCACCAGGAAAGGAAGAGGTAATGTTTTCCAGGAGTCTTGATCTGCTCAGAATCCAGTGAAGTGTCCGATTATTAAGTGCAGAGAGTGAAAGGGCTTATTATCGTCTTTACAAATAAAAATCTTTGCCAGGTTGTTTGGTGGAGAATCTAAGACAAACGGGGTCCCGTGTTTCTCAAAGGAATCACCCTCTGCAGAGAGAAGGGAGCAAGACGTTTGTGGTGCAAAATGCACATTATAAAGGGCCTTCTCACCAGCTGCTTGGCCATGAAGGAGGACATAGTTAGATTTCTCATTAACTTTGTCTGCAGGAAGGGACATTAGCTGTATCCTGTGTTTTTGGACTGGCACAGAAACGTTCCGTTTGCCTGTCCACGCCTGAAATGCTCGTCTTCTGCGGTTCGCTGCTTCACGGAAGGTAAGGTCTGAAACGTTTGCCAACAAGATCCTCCAAACCGCCGGTGTGAACCGTCTGCGGAGCTGGCCGGGGCTCGAAATCCCCTCTCCCCAGATCTTTCCAGGCGTGCTCCCCTTGTGCTGCGCTCCTGGGAATTGCCGAAGGAAGCTTTCAGGAACCTCTGCTGGTGCTCTGGGGCCCCCCCAAAAAAAAAAAAAGGCCATTTGTGTTCAGGACTTTTCCATTTTGCTGCGCCTTTGCGAGCGCTTCCTTTTTTTTGTCAGCACCTAAATTAATTTCGGCAAGGTGTCGTTTCGCATTAAAGCATGGCGGGGCCTGTGAGCGCGGCGGGAAAGCAGTCTCCGCTGTTGCCATGGGAGCACGGCTTATTGTAGATTTGGGTACCAGCTACTGTTCTGGTGCCAAAGCGGCTGCCCACTTATTTCCTGTGTGCGGGGAAAAAGCTTGGGAACGGCAATGGCTTTGGAATTTTGTCTACAGGCTTTTTATGTAACATTCTGCAGGATTGTTTTGATATAAGGGCTTAAAAAAAAACTGGTTCCCATATGTTAGTTATTTGACTCCTTTCATTGGAGTTTGTTTCTGGTGGCTTTTTTATCGCCACCCCCACCAGTCTCTCTCTCTCTCTCTCTCTCGCTCTCTCTCGCTCTCCCTCTCCCCCTCTGAAGCAAAACATCCTCCGCTGTCCAACTCCTCCCCCGCGCAGCCGTCCGGACGCCAAAACGGGTGCCCCCTTACCAGCGAGCCGCGAGCGTTTCTGGGACGCTCGTGCGCCGACCTTTATCGACGCGCTCCCCAGCCCGCCGAGCGCCGCGCGCTGCCACCGCGGCAACCGACGACCGCCACGCGGTTTGTAAACAACGAGCCGCGCATTTCCCCCCCCATAATCGGGCTTCCGTGCAGCACCTGTGAAAACAGATGTCCAGTCCGAACGTCCCGCTGTTCCCTCTACAAAGAGCCGGCTGTCGACTCCCCCCCCCGTCCGCAGGCGGGGGCCTGTCCAAGGAAGATGTCCCGCCCCCGGCCGCTGGGGCTGCGGGGGAGGCCGCTGGAGGCGTCGGCGACGCGGTGAGGCGCTGTCTGGCTCCGGCACGTTCCTTGCCGTTGACCTGCGCTTACCCGCGTTTCGGATTCCGACGTTATTCCCGTACAAAACGTCGCTTGGCAAAAACCGATTGGCAGAGGGCTCCCGAGCTGCGCGCGAGTTCCCAGCAGCCCGTTTGGATGCTTGAGGTATTCCGCACAGTGGCGCCTGGAGAGCTGTGCGTCGTTTTCGAACACGGGGACCCGTCGGCGCTTTCTGGTTTTCCTCTTTCCCGGTGAGGGCCACAGCCACCGGAGTGAAGGACTTCTGAAAGCCGAGCCGGAGTCATTTCCTTGTTCCCCTGTCCCGTCCCTCGGTCGGGCACAAGACGGTCGCAGCCTGCGTACCCAGCGTGTTCCTGGTTAAACCTTCCCTTTGTTTTTGTTCCGGGCAGACAGCTCTGCCTGCAGGCGTTTCGCGTCCCAGGGTTCTCCAGCTGCGCGTTTCTTCTTGGTGCCCGGAGTGAGTGGCACGCCTGAGGGTAATAGAAACGTGTGTGTGGCCTGAGTACCAGGGGTGGTGGTTGTCTTGTTGCATTTCCTCCAAACCTTTCGCTGCTCGAAGCCCAGTGTAGCCAGGCCTGGACTGAACGCCTCCCCTGAGCTCCACCTTCTGAAAGGGCCGAGTTGGGTTCATTACAAACGATGACCTAATACTACAGAGATTCGGGCTCGTCACAGACACACCCTTCTCACTGATCAAGACCAGACGCCAAGTCTGCCCTAGATACCGGCCCCTCAGATTCCTGTGCTCTCTTCCAGGAACGAGGGGCACATTGTCCTTTAAGCCTCCTGCGTCTTTATTTAGGGAACCAGTTACCAGCTGGCAGCCAGTCTTGTTAGTCAGAGCCTCAGCAGCAGACTGACTAATTAGGGTCCCGTGCAGGCCCGGCACTTCGGACTGTTTCCAGATCAACTTCCGCAAACCCCATGCGACAGTTACATAATGTGCCCAAGACCGGACTTTCTGTACTCTGCTTATGGGAAGTGAAACAACATTTTAATGCTATGAGATCTTATATAACAACACCCATTGACGTTGACAGCATTAGTCCTGTGGATTGGCATTTTGGTCTACACATATTATGTACTGTTGTGCCTTTTTTGCACCATTGCATTCTCAGAGTGCTGTATGGGAATAACCGCAGAAGCGAATATTAGTGTCTTTATTCTAAAGCACCACAAGGCCTCTGATACCTGCCTTGCCCTGCAGTACACAAAGGGTAGTGGTGGTGTGGAACGAGCTACCCAGCCGTGTTATTGAAGCCGATACTCTGGCTTCCTTCAGGAAACAGCTGGATCAATTAGCTACTTACTCCCAAACGGGCTAGATGGGCTGAACAGCCTCCTGTGGTTTGGAAGGCTGCGTACGTTCATGAGTCGATTCTCTGTTCCGACAGCTTGGAGGGCCGTTTCTGTCCACTTACGCCAGGACGGAGCTGACCGGGGCTCCGCTCGCTGTGTCTGCGCTGTGTGCCGCCGGGTCATGAAGAGTTAGCGAGGGGTCGGAGGGGGGGGGCTCTGTGTTTGATGCTTCAGCCAGGTCTCCGCGGTTTCGGTTTTTCTGGAGCGTGTTGCTCCGTTCCGACCGGATACGAGCTGAGGAAGCTAGCGAGGCAGGAGAGGCTCTTTCCCGTCCTGGCTGGGCCTCTGCCCTGCTTGAGCTGAAAACCTAGAGCCCCCGAGTGTGCGCGCCTTCCGAGACCGCGGAGCAAACAGCCTCCTGCTGGCCGGCTTCCCCGCCGGCTGGACGTCTGTGCCTTTCACGGTCGGCGTGCACCGGGTGTTTTTCCTTTTTTAGTGTGATCGAGCCCGGGCTTCGGCAGGCGTCGCCACGCCGGCCCCCCCCCGGCAGGAATGCTGCGGAACGAGCTCCTCGGAGCGGGAGGGCAGAAAGGGAATTGTGCCTCTGCACAGCCCTGCCGCCCCGGCAGGAGAGCCGGATTCCTCAACAAGCCCCAACACATCTGGTTCTTATTGAGACGGGAACAGAGTTCTGGGAACGGCTGGCTCTGCTCTCACACACTCTCACACTCTCTC